TGTGTGTGTGTGCATGTGTGTGTGTGTGTGTGGGTGTGTGTGTTTACATGTGTGTGTGGTCGCGCACGTTTGAGCGTGTTCCTATTACCGGTAACTGATAAATTTAAATAGAGAAGAAAAGCTGAATAAAACGGGTAAGTCGCCTACATAATGAAAAAACAACAACAACAACCCATAAAAACAAAGGTATAGTCTGGCTCTTCATTCAGAGAAAAACAAACATCAAATAATTAATGTACCAGCTTTCGATTTCGAGCTAAAGAGTTGTCATGTGATTTTTATTCTTATCGAGGGAAATTTGTTTTATTTTACACTTGAACTCCCAGTGTTTTCTGCCTTAAGGTGCAAAACTTGACTACGGCCTGGCTATTACTAAATTTATTAGCCTAGCCTATTGAGTAGCCCAGGCCTTCTAAAATCTAGCCTAATAATACTAATATTAGCCAAGGCCTTTGAAAAAAAAAGTTTTATTTTTAGAACCAAGGGCTAACGCATCGTAACAATGCACCACGCTCTTTGTATAACTGGGCCAACTTCGACCAATCAGAGACTTGCTCACAGTCATGTGACGTTTATGTAACGAAACTGTTTTGTAAAGCTTACATGACATGTGTCGGCGCTATAACCAACTGCGAAGGCAGAGACGAACCACATAGTTTGGGATGTCGATTTGTTCGTTGGTTGTGAGTGAATTCTGTGAAATGCGATTGTAGGCCCAGTTCATAGTGAGTGTTTGAAGATGGTGGATTTAGCCAAAGAAGCTTTCAGTACAAACAATTTTGGTTTAGCCGCCGACATCTATGAAAGAACAATTCGAGAGAATGGTCCCACTTCAGAACTGTTCCTAGGTTTGGCTGACAGCTTTGCCCGGGGAGGGCAATTTTCCAAAGCTTTCAATGCCTATACAAATGCCTATAGATACGGTAAAGTAACTCCAGAAAAATTGAAACATTTGGTCGTTGGATTAATCGAGACTGTGAAACAAGATCTTTCCAACAGTGGACCACATGAAGCTAAACAACAAAGCTGTATGTTCACTTGTGGAGTTTGTCGTGGCCTTCTGGCGGATCCAGTCACCGTTCCTTGTGGACACACTTTTTGTAGAAAATGTCTCGAGAAAGACAAATCAAAGACCTGTGAATTGTGTAGTACGGTGCATTACAGAATGAAATTACGAAATCTCAGCTCGAATGTTGTGTTGACCAGTTTGATCGAGAAGCTGTTTCCAAGTGAATGTAGAGCAGCAGTCCTCAAGAAGGAAGGCAATGGATACTTCGAGAAAAGAGACTTCAGAAACGCAATAGATGTTTATAGCAAAGCCATTGATATTGGTAAGTGTTCTTTTCTTCACCCTTTTACATAAAAATAGCGACCTCTATTCTACGCCCTGTCTTTCGCTCCTGAAATCGTTCAATTTGAGCCATGTACTGAACGGCCTAGTTTTATAATGTGTTTCGTAACGTCTCGACCGGGATGTAGGTCAAGAACGACTGAGAAATCGGGAGTGTGTTTTCCTTGAACTTGAAGAACTCGGCATTGTGCATTGCCTGTTGTGAATGCCCGTTGAGTTTCCTCCTTAAAAAAATATTTGTTGTCTCCTTACACCCAACTCCCATTATTTTAGACCTGGTGGCTAAAGAACGACCCAAACTGTCCTCTTCCTGGTCTGTCCTTGTTGGCTTTTTTTTTGTTTTGCTTGTCGAAGTTCATGAAGTTGGCAGCCTATCCTCCTATTGACTGGGACGGGATAGTCAGGTGACGCTATACATAACACAGCGTCGAAGAGTTTCATAAGCGTTTGGCTAAGGTATTTTTAGATCTGCTTTAGTCGTTTCCAAGGTCTTTGGGATTATTTTGTTCTGAATGGGAATATGTTGGCAGAGGCAGAGGGATGTTTGTTTAAAACGAATTAAATCCTCCTTTTTTGTATGATAGTAGTGAACATTTATTATTCGAGAGTATGAGATTGAGATAAAAATCATGCAGAAATGGAAACTGATAAATTATTTTCTAACTAATAGTCTCTGGTAAAGTACAAGCAAACAAAAAACAGTATTTTACTTTGAACTGTGTAACTGATAAGTGTCTATACATTCTCTTGAACAAATTCCCTTGGAACAGTAGGACTAATTTTGATTTAATATGAACATGTATGTCTGGTCAAATCTCTAGGCCTTGCGTCAAATTTCCTACGACTCAGTTATCAATGCTGTTTTCTGTACATGACCTAGATCTATATATTACTAAAAAACCCTAACCTTCCCATTGATTTTATTCTCTCTCCATGGTGTTTGTTGGAAATTAACTTCAAATCTACTTCCTTTTAATGCTTTACTCAATGACGAGAAGAAACTACTGACATTTTGTTGTTTATAGATCTATGGGATTTTTACAGATCTGTGTAGTAAGACAAAAATGTCGACCCCAGTAATTCAGGGTCCTCTGTTTTTTGCTTTGGACTAGTTGGGGTTGGATCAGATGCCTCTATGTAGATCAAAATTAATGAAGTGACTTGTTGTCTCTTCCTCAGCACCCAGTGATCACCTTCTTCTGAGCAATCGATGTCATGCTTTCGCATCTCTGGACATGTTCTCAGAAGCTTTGGATGATGCCGAACTTGTGGTGCAGCTCAGGCCGGACTGGCCCAAAGGCTATTTCCGAAAAGGGGCAGCATTGTATGGGTTAGGCCAATACGAAGATGCAGCTGTCGCCTTTTTACAATGTCTTGCGTTAGATCAGAAAGTGACATCGGCTAAAGATTACTTGTCCAAGGTAAGGAAAGGCAACCCTTTAGAGAACTTAAGTTTGTATTGAATATGCTTTTCTTTGACTCTGGTTTTCAGCAAAAAGTATTGGTTTGAAATTGTGTTATTAAACATTATTTTTGGACAACCACTCCAACTTTTAAAAAAAATTTAAACTTTGCAAAGATCATCCTTTTTATCACTGCTTCTGTTGTCGTTTTACTAATGAAAAAAACCCAACTTATTATTCCATAAAAATGTGCATTTAACTTATGGTTGATGCTTTGAGTTCTGGGAAGCTCATGTTTCGTGTGTGCGTCATACACTATCACATTGTCACTTATATAGCGTGTGTGAGTGGTCTTTTGTTTTGTTTTGTTTGTTATGTTGGGGTTTTTTTTGGGGGGGGGGGGGGGGGGTTATGGTCCTGTACCGCCAAGAAAAATTCCCTCTGGGACAATGAAGTATTATCTTATTTTATCGTATCTTATTAATCTATAAATAAATCTTAATTTATTGTTTTCTATACCTTCCTCTGTAGCAGTCATTTTAAAGTTTTGTGAACCAGACATACATTAAAGCTCAGGCAAATGAAATGTTGAAAGGGTATTGATGGACAGAAAAAACCCTGGTTCCTTTATCATTGAAATTACCATGAAAGTAAAGAATACTGAATCAATGTTTTGTTTGCTTTTCACAGACCCTGGACAAAATTTTGTCAGTCCTGCCTCCGGATGACCCAAAGGCCCATGCCATGGCTCAGCAAAGCAACCCATCATTGCTGCAACAGCTCATCAATAAGAATTTCTCAAAACCTTTGCTCCTGCCTGACATTGCCAACACATTGTCAGACCTGGCACAAATTGTCAAGGATACCATCTGTGTTGCCAACAACTTTTCTCAAGAGCCAAAGCCAGAAGTGAAAGTTGGAAATTCGTCCGACCAAAGTCCTGTCACAGACAAGAAAGAGAGTAATGGCGTGGAGGAGATTGAAGGAACAGAGGGGATGTTCTCGAAAAAACTGAGATGTAAGATATCTAAGACGTCTGTGATGTGTTCATTATTTGAAGATTGTGGGTGATGTTAGTCACCAAAGGTCCTACTGTAGTGAAAGTTGAAGGATTTGTTGATTTTGTTTTGTTTTTTTGTCTTTGAAATGCAGAGAAAAATTTGTCAGTTTCTCTCTTGTGCCTGTATTTGCCATGTTTTATTATCGAGGATCATTTGAGCTTGTTTTATTTGCCTAAATGGTAAAGTCCCATCTATGCTTTGTTTAGCAATTATTGTTTTTTAAAGTGTCTTGAACTTTGCATGCATTTAAATCTATCACTGTTGTTGTGATTTTTAGCTGTAAAGAAATGTTTTACTTTTGCCTTTTTTCTTATGGAGATTGTTTTCCTTGTCATTTTCACAGGCAGTTCTCTCCCTGACTGCAGTGATGTCGATCATGAGGAAATTCAGAAAGTCACATTGCCACGCAGCCACTCGCCACTGCCTTCTCCATTGTGTCGCAAACGCATGAGAAATCCTAGTTCTTCTGCACAATGCCCGCTTAGCCCCACGCATTCCTCACCTCAGAAAGTTTTAAGTAAGTATTTCTCATATATATCTATATTTGTCCCCGTGTCAACTGCAGTTTCTGTCTTTTATACGTATTTATAGTGTGGTTTTAACTTGTGCATCTTAAAATGTTTATTCAAAGAGGTTTTTGTGTAAAAGTATCTTTTAATTTATGTTTTACAAACTATACACTGGCATCTTATTTAAACACTGTGGGGAAAAGTTTTTAAGCAGTCCAAGAACAAAAGTTTGGACCTTTCTTTGAACAATGTACTGAAGTGAGCCCACTGCCTTAATTAAAAGTAGTAACTCATCATATTCCAAACTAAAATGAAAAAAATATTAGGTACTATTTCATATTGTGGTAAGCCACATTTAATGGGCCCTGTTATTCAAAACGTTTTTGGAGAATAAACGCTATAGTTAACCACTAGCCGCTCTGTCTTGATTGCTTCAATTTTTAACTTTAAAAAAAATATATAAACAAAAAAGTGTTAGCTGAGTATTTTACTACCTTTGTATTGTTGCTGTTGAGTGTGATGTAATGGGTATTGTGTTCCTTTCTGTGTGTGTGTACAGAGTCTACCTCAATGGACACTGCTGCCAACACCTCCTCCGCCTCCTCTGCCACCGCTGAACACACTCACTCAAAACCAGAACCCCTGAGTGTGGATGACCTGGAGTGTGGCCTGTGCTACCGCCTTTTCTATGAGCCAGTGACCACCCCTTGTGGTCACACATTCTGCCGCAAGTGTCTCGACCGTTGCCTGGATCACACGGTCACCTGTCCTATGTGCAAAGGCAACCTGTCCGAGGTGAGGCGTTTTCTTTTTCTTTCATTCTTACTTTCTTTCCTTCTTTACCAAAAAAAAAAATTACTTCAAATGTTTGTCTCGTATCATTAAAGAAAAATTATTTTACATGTTTGTCCTGTATAATTTTTATTGTAGTGTAGATTTGTTTGAGGTTTACTTATTGTGTTGATCTTGATATTTTTTTGTTTATATGTGTGTGTGTTTTGAATATCAGAAGACCTTTGTTTGTAAAGAGATTTAAAAGTTTTTTTAGACAAGTATGATTTCCCAGTGCAATTCTTTTTGTAGCTTTTGATTAAATAAGAGGGGGATGTATGAGTTTAAGTCTGGTGATTGACAGTTTGTTCGCTCTTGTGGAAAGTCGAAAAGACTGCCTGCTTCATCAAGCAAATTCTAAGCTTTGAATAGCCTGTTGAAAGCTGAAGAAGAAAAAGATAGTATGTGTTTGTGGTACTCTTTCTTGTGTTGTGGAAAAGGATATAGATTTCTATGTATTGCTATTGTTTTTCCCAACTGAATGTCTTTTTTTTCTTGTGTGATTCTCCAGTACCTGGCTGAGAGGAGGCAAGCAGTGACGGACTCCATACAGTGCATCATTGACACGTACTTCAAAAAGGAGCATGTTGAAAGGTCGAAAGTGAACGATGAAGAGATGGTGGAACTTGCAAAGTAAGTCTATGCTTCAAATTGTTGTTTCAAAATGTTTTTCATAGATTTGTGCATTGTATGGTGTAGTTTCTCCTACGTGATTTTTAGTGGTGGCATTCCTGTTAGACTTGACACAGTTTAAAGATTTCAAAATCTTATGTATCACTATGTTGTTTAAAACATTTTTTATTTTGATTTTGATTGTACAGGTTAATTTTCAACAGGTACCTGAATAGTGTCAATTTAACTGTCTTTCTGCAGGTCAACATCTTAGATCATGGTATGTGTTGGTTTTGTTTTGAAAACAGTCGATGGAAAGAACAGTGGGTGCATTTAGTAAAGCCCATACCCTACTCTGTTCATAGAATATTAAAATCCTTATTAAATATGCTATCTTTTCTCTGACAGAATGGGAAGTGGACAACAGTCAGACATCCCAGTGTTCGTGTGTACCTTGTCCTTCCCCACCATCAGCTGCCCGCTGCACATTTTTGAGCCGCGCTATCGACTCATGGTGCGCCAGTGCATGGAGTCTGGGACCCGCCAGTTTGGCATGTGCATGCACACCTCCGATGACGAGTGAGTAGTTTGTCATTGTGACATTTTAAAAAATATTAATGTCTGCTGTCTAGCGAAAGTTGGTTCATTGGCTTGAGAGTTATTTTTTCGTGGTGTTTTTTTCCCTACATTGCTTTTTCTCAATTTTGAAATAAAAATAAAAAGTTGCTGTGGGATCAGGGCAGGTACTGTATGGGCTCTATGGTGTGGTCTGCTCCGTCTGTATCATGTCATTGTTACTGATGCCTTAATCTGTTATTTTCCAAATGTAACTATCATTGTGCTGGCTCATTGTGAACTGCTGGTTTGTAGTGTCTCTGTTTTGTTGTCCTTTATCTTTTATGTGTTTTTATTGTTTTTATTTTTTGCTATAATGTGTTTCTGAAAAATTGTGACCTGCCAGTCTGACTTCCTATTTATGAATGTGTATTGGTGTTGCTCCTGTTGATATATTTTTCATAGCAGTGGCTTGATTTTTGTTCTAAGAAGAAGTTTCTTTCTTCAAGGATAGGATCATTAGCACAAGAGTGGCTGCAGATATTTATGATGATCTTGAGGCTATTTTATTATTCATTGCCTTTATGACATCGTGAATAATTATGTTGCTTGAAAATTTCATTTCTTCAACCTCTAAACTAATATATTTGTTTTATCTTTTTCCTATTCAGCAATGAATTTTCCGACTATGGCTGTATGCTGGAGATCCGAGACGTGCAGTATTTCCCGGACGGCCGCTCGGTGGTGGACACCATCGGAGGTCGTCGCTTCAAAGTACTCAGCCGAGGCCACCGAGACGGCTACAACACGGCCAAGGTGGAGTTCATGGTGGACAAACCCATCGATGCTGAAGAGCTCCAAGGTAACTGTCCCGCCCGGCAATGGAACCATCGACCCCAATTGTCTTCGGACTGTCCCCAATTAACACTTTGCCGCCTCATCTCACCGATTGGCGATGTTTACCACCTAGTTTCTTTGGATTCTCCCCAAAATATGATGGCAAAGTGTTCAGCAATTAGGGAATTTGAGAGCCTTTTCATCTGCATTATAGCAAAACCAGTCCCTCTTGATGTTAATTTTGTTCATTGTTACGTAATCTTATTTTATGTCTTAAGACGATCCCGATTGCACTTATTTCTGAGATTCACTTTTGGTCATATATAGTAATTTATTACCCACAATAGAGAGAGATGTTTTACTAAGTTGTCTATTTTTGTCCCCTTTTTCCCTGAATATAGCTGACAGTGGTGAGCAATATTTTACTAAATTGTCTGTTTTCCTCATTTTCCCCAGCGGTGATTGAGCTGCAGACAGAAGTGTACTCGTTGGTCCAGAACTGGCTGGCCCGGCTGCCCAGCATGCACCGCACGCGCATCACGCAGCAGGTCGGGGAGTTGCCCGCGGTGGAGGCCAGCCCTGCCTCTGGTGGGAACGGCCCCGCCTGGGCCTGGTGGGCGGTCAACGTGCTTCCCCTTGACCAGAGGGTGCGGATGGCCTTGCTGGCCATGTGCAGCTACCAGGACAGACTCGTGGCCCTCCGGAGGGTAGGTTCTCGTATCTGTACATCCTTGTGGATAGGACAAATTTGAAGATTTACGCATGGATATGGAAGCAAGGGAGGAAATTTGAGATGTGTAGGGAATGTTAATGAAGAGAAAAACTGGTGGAAATTTTTAATTTCCGATTTTGTGTGGATGCTGTTGTAGGAGGAAAAACAGAATAATTTGAGATTTTGTGGGGATAGAATTGAAGAAAAAATATGGAGGAGAGGCAAATGATGCATTATATTGTGGTATATAGTCAGTGATTTATGTAAAAATCTACTCCAATAAATTATGCAATATATTCAAAGTTTAAATTTTGAGAAAGGTTAGAGAAAGAAGAAAATGGTCAATGCTCACTTCAGAATATATGAACTTAAATTGTCTTGATGTTATTTTTCGCCAAAGTTCCTTCCATTAAAAAAATTAAAACAGTTTTGTCTTGAGTTTTCTCAAGAGTGTAACTTGAACTAAAAAAATTATTTTAGTACATGCAGTTTTATGGTCATGTACTGAATGTGACCTTCCAGTTTACTGTTTTGAAGTTATGTTATGAAAAATGCTTGACAGTGTTATAAGTTTGTGTTCTTTTGTGTGTCTGGTTGGCAGGTCCTGGTGTACATGAACCGCAGAGGCAGCCGGTGACTAGCCTGGCTGTACCTGCTGCTGCAGCGGTTCCCTCAGGCCCTGTTGCTCCTGGTCTTGTTCGTGTGCTTACTGGCCGGCCACCTCATGGAACTCCCAGAGCTAGCGTACGACAGCTTCCTCTTGTGACCCAGTGTGTGACATGTGGCCCAGAGCGGCGGCTTCTCTCTCTGGGAGGTCAGACAAGGGCACATGTTTGGTCTTCTCTCTCCTGCGGGTTAGACGAGTTCTAGCCCTGAGCATCGTGTTCTCTCTCCCAGAGCGTTAAACAAGGGCACAAGGTTCGTCTTTTTCCTGCTGTCGGTCAGACGAGTCCCCTGCATGGGCTGGTGCTATCTCGCTGCTTCTGCACAGGACTCGCTGGACTGTCCCGGCTCTCTCGTTGGCAGATCTCAGACTGTCTTACTCATCCTCATCGTTTGAAAGCTGCGGTAGGAGCTGGGGCGTCAAGCTCCGCTGGACATGGATTGGAGATTGAGCAGGTTGTCTTCATGTGGCTGTGAACTCGGTAGCAGTACTGGAAGAGCATTTGAATGTGAGCAACAGATCAAAGAAAAGGCGTCGAGAAGAACTGTTTGGTTTTTGGAAGGACTGTAATGGCTCTTTGAGCCCTCAACGGTGTTTTGGATCAGTTCCAGGCTAGAGGAATTACTAAAATGGAGGTGACTTTGTAATTGTTAAAAAAAGAAAAAAAAAGATTGCTTAGCGTTGTGGTTTTTAAAAAAAAGAATAGGGTACATTTTGCAGTGTTTGAATTCCTTGTGACAGCTTTGTGTATACAACATTTACGACTGTGAAGCTCAGCTGCAGATGTGTATCCCTGAGGGGAGACATTCTACCTCGGTACTGTCGGAACTGCTGCTGAATATGCTTACATTTTTCTTGTGTTGTCTGCTATGTTTTTTTGTTTTTTTTTGTCCCATGAGATTGACCCGTAGACTCTGATTCTTCGGGTTTGAGACCCATGTGGATTAACTAACCAGCTCTGTGTACATGGGGAAGTGTCATGGTTTGCACTGTATCTCTGCTCCACACCTACCAGTATATATATTTAAACTGTTGATCACAATTTTACTAACTCTCACATTCTGGTGTTACAAGTGGATCCATATGTCACGTAACAGGTAATTAATTTCAGTTTTAAAGAACTACTAGTCTGTGTTTGTTTTTTTTTACTAGTTTTACGCCACATTTTGTATTTTTGTATTTAAGAAATGGTAGAAAATGTAAAATAGCATGCTACTGTTTTGGTTAAATAATATAGCTTTTTTCACTTTTTGATTGATGGTCGTATGTGAGTGGATGAAGGAATGGAAGGTGGTTGTGGATGATCAGTCAGCGTTTTACACAGTGTACTAGCTGCATCTTAATCGAGGAAAAGTAGTTTGTTTTAGATGGGTTTTGAAGCTGGAAACACTTTGTGTTCAGAATGAGTGAAGGGTAGGAGGTGTGTATCTTTGTGTTTGTAGAGAACTGGATAAATCAGGGCCTGAATTGAGGCCTAATTTTTGTTCTAAAATAATTGCCTTTTTTTTTTTGGCAATAGCTGATGTGTGGTTGGTGGAAGTGTAAAGTGTGCTAGTATCAGGTTTTCTGGGTCACATCTTTGTGCAGGTCTATTTGCATATTTAGAGTGTACTTTTGGTTAAAAGTTTTTAGTTGCTTTTTTTCCCCCCTCTTCTCTTTTTTTGTGTTTTAGTTCAGGCCTTCTGGATAGAGGTAATGGGAAAAGGCATAACACATCAGTCATTGGTGTCTCCTGTATTATCTGATGTGGGCAACACACTCTTGTCTTGCAACCCATTCAACTTGAATGCAATATTTGATCTCTTGAATGGTTCTCAAATGTCAGCCATTGTGTTATCATTGGTGTAGGTTTTTGGGGGTTTTTTTGTTTTTGTTTTGTTTTGTCGTTTGTGTTTGTTCTCAAAGCGTACTTGAGAGATAACAGGTGGCACCTGAAGGCCAAATCCCATGGATCCTAACCAGTTAGATTTTTTATTATTTTTCATGTTATGCTTTTCTTGTTTTTTTTAAAACTGCAGCCCCCTTTTTTTTAAAGAAAGAATAGTTTTGTGATGGTTAAAATTGTTAATTAGAAATTTACCACATTTTGCAGAATTGTAGTGGGGAATGCTTGTTTTGTCAATGAAATTTGATGGAAAGTAGAACATGGTTTAATCAAAATTTGGAGAAAAAAAAACTGCACTTATTTTGGGTTTTTCCCCCCCGTTATTTCGCAGTGGGTTTAAGTACGCTAAATGGGTATGAGTAACTGTAGAGAGAATATCTGAGAAAATTTCAGTGCCGTTACAGAATAATAGCACAAAGAGACACCCCAAAAAGTAACTGATAGTGTTAGTTGTTTGGCAAGGTCACCTTGGAATGTGCGTAAATTCTTCTCCAGAAATGGCCGAAGTACCTCGGGGTGACCCTCCAACTCTCTCGGGCACTGGATTGTGTGGTAGAGCACCTTAAGGCCGGTCACTAGTCATGTGTGTGTGTGTTTGTTTGTAGACTACGAGAACTGTTCTCTGTCGCTTTAGAAATTTCTGTCTGTGTGGGGAGATGTAGTGGTGTTCTTCTCTCCCCCCCCCCCCCCTTTTTCCAAGTGGGTGGTTGGAGGGTGCCACTAGTAGTAGGTCCAGCTTCTTTTCTTTCCCTCTTTCTCCTTGAGTATCATGATGTGTTTCTCTTTACCTAGGTCAGACTTTCTCAGGTGTCTTCAAGCCTCATTGGTCAGGTCAGGTTATCGTCTTTTTGTTGCCGCTCGTTTTTGTCTGCTTTTCGATTAGCGGATGGTTGGTTGGAGGATGCCACTAGTTGGTGGTCCAAGGTCTTTTCTGTCCCTCTTATATCACTGTCTGTCAATATCTTGCTTTTTCCTTGCACTTTATAGTAGTTATTTTGTCAATGCACTTCTCTTTTGCTGAAATGTTGAGGTTTGCTGTTTGAAGAAAGCTGTTGTGCTGTGGTCAGAAGTCTTTGCTGAGATTTATTGTGGCAATTTTTTTACTGGCTGTCTCCACGAGCAGAATGGTACATGAATGGATATTGTTTTGTTGATGAATGGAATCTGTTTTTCTTTTTTTTTTTCTCTTTGTTCTGTGGATGGTTGAAGGGTGAGTAATTATTGTAGGTCTGTTACTTCTTTTTCTCAGGTCTGAATGTTCATTACTGTGGTGATAAGAGATATAATACTATCTAGACAGTGTTAAAGCTTCAATTTGAGTTCCGTTGGAGGGCACTACTGGTAGGTCTTATCTTAATTTCTCCTCTGATGTTTCTCTCTATTTGTCTTCTTACTTGTTCCCAGCACAAAATGACCATTTTTGTGTCTATTCTGTGTGCTTCTCCTCACTCGAACAAATAGGTTTTGATTTTGTGCCCTGTACATTGTACCTTATAGCAGTTGCGAGCGCCGTAAAACCTCTACTAAAACAAATGTTATAACAAATGTGAGTGAGTAGGTTTGGGTTTGGGGTTCTATCTGTACATCCTATATATTGTTTTTGTTTTCTTCTTTCTGATATATCTCCGGGTTTTGTGAGTGCTCTGGTGTGGTTTCGTTCTTCTTTCCTAACGAATGTGTCTATTGTCCTTATCTCTCCTTTTCTGTGTATGTTACTTTCTAGTAACAGCTGTAATCTTCGGCACTTATGACCTAATTAGGCTAATTGTGTTGCAAGTGCCACAAATGTCTTGAGTTTATATGTAGCCGGTCAGAGCTGGGATTGTCTTTGCTATATATATATAGGTATGTGGTTCCTGTCTGTCTGTCGTTTTATTTTTCGTCACCACGATGGGTTTCTCTACCCATCCCCTCCTGATATTTTCTTCTCAGAAGATCTCATAATACTCTCAGTCTAGCGGGAGTCCTGTAGCTGGCTCCCGTTGTCTGTGTGGCTTGTTGCTCGGGTTGTTTGTGTGGCCTGTTGCTCGGGTTGACTGCATGGCTTGTTGCAAAAACTGTACGTGTAGTGAATGATTCACATGTGGCATTGTAACAGTAGAGTATGGTTGTCGTATTTAAGGTCAGTTTCAGACCCACAAGTTGGTGAAGACTGCTAGTCTAGCTGCTGTGGTTACAAATTGATAAGTACTATTTATTTTCACTAATTGTAATTGTTCATTTCTATATTGTAAATTTTGTTTGGATCTAAAACTTAAGAAAAGGAGTTGCCCGAGTAACAAGCACAAAGTTTTGCCCGATATGTTGAAGCAGCTGACTGCGGCAAGCGATATATTTGATTTGTCATTTTGCTACACACATTAGTCAGGGCTATCATGTCATCGTTTCTCTTCCCCTCCCTCCTCCTCCCATTTCCCTCTTTCCACTTGTCGTTAGACTATGCATGCCAATGAATATGTTTTTTTTCAGTGGTTCATGTTTGTTTCAGAACTCTTTGCTTTTACCTCAAATCACATAAAAAATGTCGTTATGCAATGAAGTATTGGAGGAATGGTGGACTGTGTTGTCGTGTTGAGACCCAATCATGTCATGGCAATATGCAACAGGCTGCTATCTTCAATGGGAAGTAGATTTTATCTAGTAGATTAAAATGGTAACGTCTTCTAGGCTTTGTTGTGCGGGGGGCAAGAGAACAGTCCGTCTGAGCCACCGTTTGCCAACCTGGGCAATTTGGACTGATGTCTGTGGTGTAGCAGTCAAACGCCTCGCTGTCACATGCAGGAGACTCCAGTTAGGAGAATCTGTATTCCCGTGTTCAGCTGGGATGGTGGATCTCCTTCTGCCTGGGTTAGCCCTGACAGGCAGGGTCGAAGCTTGTGTCCTAAATTATCTAAATTCAGTTTATTTTTTTAGGGTGGGGGTGGGGCGTAAAAAGAGCTCAACGTATAGATTTAGTTTTTAAAAAACCTAAAGTGCGATTTTGTGATTTTAATGGGTGGTGGGAATCACCCGTGTAGTGACAGGTTTTATTTAATGCCCCACTTGTAAATACTACATGAGGGTGGGTGGTAGGAAAATGTTTGCCTCTTAAATGTGTCCCAAGTGGACACTGGCTATTTAGTATTATACGAAGGTTGACAAATTTTGGTGTAGACCCAACATTGCTTCCAGCACATCACTACACTCTGTAGCGTCGTCCCCCCTCCCCCCCCCCCCCCCTAAAAAGAATAAAAGAGGATTTAGTGCATAGGTAAGTTCTTTTGTACAGGGGGGACATTAACCTGATCGTATGCACAGTAGAATTGTAAATGGGCTGATTCATCGATGTCATGCTCATAACTGTGCCTGAACTGCAACAGGGAACTGCTGCTTTTTCTTTCCTAATCCTTACTATCGTCATTTTTCCTCTACTTTTTTTGTATGTTTGTCCAACTCTTATTTCTCATTTTCTGGGGTGCCTTGATAGTCGAAGCAGACTTTGTGCTGTTGAAGCTAGAGAGGTGAGCAGAGTAAATCTGATTCCCTGTAAGGATTTCTCTGTTGACATCCACCCCTTGGGCTCTATACTATGACCATATGCAGTTGCGAGCGCTGTAAAACCTCTACTAAAACAAACAACTCTATAGCAGGTGGTGGGAGCTCCAGGGAACTAGTGCTAGTTTGTGATTTTATGCTAATGACTTGACACCTATTGGTGATGCTGTTGATGTTACATGATAGAGTTGATGGCTGTGTATGTGTTCAGAATTGGTTCATGGCAAGTGAACAGTGAATATTAATGTTGTATATACGAGTAAATCTGTCTGTTCAGGACATAAGCTGTGAATGGGTTGAAGAATGTGATGGTCTTCACAATGTATGTACAATTGTTAAATAATATTTATTTTCACTGATTGTAATCCTTCACTTCTATGAAATAAATATGTTTGAACTAAAAACAAACTTAACTGAGTTGTGTATGTTTCATTTTACGTATGACTCACATCTCTATCGTACAGATCTATGGTATTATTAGTAAGAAGGATCTTTTGGAGTAAAATTTAGGGTGGTTGATGGGTGCTCTGGTGTGGTTTGCTTCTTCTTTCCTATCAAACATCTGTCCTCCTTAAATCTTTCCTCCTTTTTTGTCTTTGTTACTCTCTTGTAACACTTCCAATTTGCCACTTATATGACTTTATTGTGTTGCAAGTGCCGTAAAACACTACAGAACAATGAACATTAACATATTATATATATATATGTGTGTGGTTGGCGGGTGCTCTGGTGTGGTTTGCTCTTTCTTTCTTATCAAACATCTATCGTCTTTATCTCCCCTCCTTTTTTTGTGTTTGTTACTCTCTTGTAACACCTCTAATCTTCTGGCGCTCATATGACCTTATGCAGTTGCGAGCGCCGTAAAACCTCTACTAAAACTTTTTTAAAAAAAAAGACTCGGCTGTAAGCGCCGCTGTCCTATCCAGACCCTCAAACAACACTCGACAGTGGAGACCTCATCATACCGAGGTCTCCTTTTTTCTGCAGAGGCCATTACCATTGACATGACATTGGATTCGGTTTAAAAAATCCCCCAAATTAGGCTTTCTTTTCTCATCGTGATCCTTTGTCTTGCGTAACTTTACTCACAACACCGTAGTTAAATTGGTCGCTTTTTAAGGGCAAGCGGGCGGATCCAGATTTCGGGGGTTTCCAGAAATCTTGACCTGAACCAGCCAAAAGTTGGCATTTCCATACATAGGCTATAGAAGAAGTTTGGTTTCATTAGTGTGTATATTTGTTTGGTTATAGAGAAAACTCTCCCTTTCTTTTAAAAAAACTGAACAAGAGGCAAAAACATTACCTTCGATTTTCTCAAAACAGCATTTTTCGGGATATCCCTTTGTGCTTAAAAGCGACCAATTGTCAACACCCCAGCAGAATGACCGGCGAGATACTCAACAAAGATTCTCCCCCATTCGGGAATGGAACTCGGGTCTTCTGCGTGCTACAGCGAAGCGCCTAACCCTAGGCCTTCTTAAATGTAAGATTTAGAAGTCCAATTACAGTTGAGGATTCACTACTACTACTTGACTGATCAGGGAAATACTGTCGTGGTTGTTTGGTTACCTAGCTAGATCTATGTGGGCATCCGAGGAAACTAGCAGGTCGATCACCTGGCGAAGGATTCCTTGGCCTTCCTGTTGGGTTGGGATCAAGGAGTTTAGAACTACTTTTAATCTCCTTGGTTGGGATCAGCGGAGAACATCCTCCCACAGACAGATTGTTTAAAACATAAGGCGAGACACTACATCTCC